GACATCAGTTCATCTGCTGCAATACGCAATTAGAACAAAAGAAAAAGTTATTTACGTTTGAAATCTTAGAATTAATTTAATAGTGCGAAGATTTGTGTTGATGTTTATAATTATAGTGATAGTAATGATAATGATAACGTTGCGTAACAACACAAATAAAAAGGTGACTTTCTATTAAGGCAAATAAAGTTTACAGCGCTCTGTTAATAGTGCTGTTGAAATATAGCGCAAGCGCTGTCATAAAGTTAACATGATATAAAGCTGCAATAGGATTACTTTGTATGTGTGTGTCTAAAATTAAATTCTACATTTATCTAAGTTTATACAAACGTTGCCGCCGTTTTGGCTTTTACCTCAGAAGCGATAAATATGCTTTCCATTTTCATTTAATTTTTTTTTTTTTCTTTTAGTTTTGCCTTTCACATTTTAGACTTCATTTTACATTCAAAATTTGCACTAAACTTAGTTTACAATACTAAAAATAAAATATAATAAACACTATCTCAGCGGGAGAGTGGTTAGAGGATGGGGCGGAGATGTTGTATTAAGTTTTGCGGTTCAGCCGGCTGATAAATAATTAATTATGTTAATAATTTTGTTAATTACGATATTGTTAATAAAAATGTTAAGTATCTTAAAATTATTTTAACAGCCCAACGACTTCCTCTCCTTTGGATGAACATGTGTATTGGATCGGGATCGATTTATAGTAAGTAGCAGTTCATAATGTATTTTAGTTGGGAAGGCGTACAGGTGGCACCGCCGCATTTCAAACCATTTTTTTGTATACACAAATAAAAAAAAAAAAAAAACAAAAAACAAAAAGCTTACATACTAATTATATAAAGTTTCTTATTTCTTGTTATTGTTTTTGCAACTTTAAACTAATAAATGCTATAAGGGGTGCATTGCAGTTGTACTTATGCTGCCGTATCTACCTCCTCTACTATATGATTGGGTGAGACCTCGCTGGGCGATGCAGTGGTTGCAGCCGCAGCAGCTTTTGTTGTGTTGTTGCTATTGCTGCTGTGCTTGGTCTTGACTGCCGGCAGCGGCGTCGTCACCAGCGCGCTAACAGCGCTATATTGCGGCGTTGCCTCCACAGTTGCCGTTAGAATTCCTGCATTGGCATCGTACGGCGTGCTCTTGAGCTTGCGCGCTTCACGCTTCTGTTTGCGCTGCTGCATAACTAGACGTAGTTGGTCTAGCTTAGACTTGGTCTTTAGATTGGCCAGGTCAGCGATGCACTTTTGGCACATGTGATCCCGTTGGCCATCGTTCAGCCTAACGCCGCCACCGTGATTACGGCACATGCATCCATTCGAGCTGTCCATCGCTGGGGTATTACTAGCGCTGTCGGTGCTGGATATATCCGCATCGGTACAGCAGCCGTGTGTATATGACTTGAGACTGCTAGCGATTGCAGTAGAAATACCTTCCTTAGCCAAATAGTGGCCATTAGATTCGCCATAAGCACAGTTGCCAGCACTCAAAACTGCTGCTGCTTGTTGCTGTTGGGCGCGAGAGTTACATTTGGCGCAATTGTGATGTTTGGTCGAGTACTGAAACGGAAAGAAAAAAATTAAATACTCAATTGATTTGCACCACAAATACAAGATTCAGAGTAATTTCAGGTTGCAATTGTTTTMCCTGCTTGCTTAATATACAATAGAGAAGAAAAGTATTTTGACAACTTATTGTATGCTGAGAGAGGGTAATGGTACCCATTATATTTTTAAGAGAGAGCAAATTTTAAAAGCTTTAAGAGACCTAAATATTGCATTGTTAACATAAGTCGTTATTTTTCTATAATTATTTGCATGATAGATTTTCAATAATTTTGACATTAATGTTTATTAAATAAAGTGAGAGAAAAACCTCTCAACTTACTTAACTGATAGTAACAATAATATTAATAACAAGTAAGAAGACTCTAGTCGAGACTGCTCGACTAGGAGATACCCTGAACCCTCSAATCTGATATTYTAATCACTGTGCACTTCTTTTCGGCACACATACATACACACGCACGTATTACAACGCGCTCTGCTAACTGCGCAGTAAGCAGCGACTGCGCTCGGACTGCGCTGCAGTGTCTGCAATATTATAAGAATTTATTTGTTGAATAATTTGATTTCTAGACGTACAATCT